TACGGTCCCGACACCCACGGTCATCTTAGATTGCTAGGTTACTCGCTTTTATTGTTTTGCTTCCTTATTTTCTATTCATTCGATATACTTCCACCATCACTTTCACTTCTACTTGCTTTGATTTAGTCTCGATTAGATTTAGATTTAGCAACCGGTCCTTGTGTTCGACCCCGTGTTACGACGATCTGTATCCTTGCGGTGAGTTGTGAATCGGGTATAAATTCTAGACTCGGTACACACGTATCATTACCCTCTAAGCATAAGATGATCTTTTGCGAACCATTTGCAACCCAGCGAGACAGATGCCGTTTTATTGATGGTGAATATAAATTAAACGCAAAACACATACCATACATCGATAGACAAGACTATATATCGACATGGATTATTCATGGAGATACGCACATAAACACAAACACATACACATGATATACATAGCTAGGAACAAGGTCTAGGAGCATCTGCATGCATGCATGCTAACACGTGCCTACGTACGTAAGTACGTACGTACACACCGCTGCATGTAATGACAGGTTAAGCCGAGACTGCTCCCATGATGTTAGGACGACGACCATGGTTCAGTTTTCCATCGCAGAAGCCGTTGACGCATATGCAAGAGGACCAAACGGGTCACCTATGCCTAGGCATAAACCGGATCTGAACCCACATTGCTTGTAGCAACTTATAGCACAAGACTGGTCCGAGAAAAGCATCGTACAGATTTCATTGTGATCAGATTCAGAGCCTTTGTATGCATCCCAAGCGCATTCGTCGGCGTTTTCACAGAAATTGCATACGCATTTACGACTAGGTAAGCCTTTTGTAACTTCACATCGACCGACTTTAGCTCCATATGTAAGATAATTTCAGGTTTTCAGGGATTTGCTTTTATAAAAACCCAAACGATAAACTGGATCTGGCTTTATATAATTCACACAAAACAATCAATAAAACATAGATCAGAAAACCATACCTGGATCCATGAATTGCAGCGGAATAACTTTAAGAACCAAAAGTCTTCTAGGGTTTTCTCTCCTTTCTCCCGTACTATAAGTTTTTCTTGATGGACAGAAATAATGAACTATAATGTTCCTTTTATAGGGTGCGGAAACCCTAGTTGTATTAGGGTAAGGAGAGAGGGGACTTCCAATAATACCCCTGGACCTTAATTCTTTAATGAGTTCTTATCCATCAAAGAACCAGATTAATATTAAAACCCGAAAGCCCAAATTACATGGGCCACATAATAATTTATTTCTTACATTCTCCCACTTGGCCCATGTGATGAATTGATGATCTAATAAACTTTAAGCGCGCAACTTTACATTAGATTCATCTATCATCGATAACTTTCATTTGAATAACAATCGATGAATCACGACGGTCACACATCACTTTTAATATGATCCCTTCCATGTATCACAATCAATTATCATCCAACATACTTTATGACCTAGGGACTATATCATTATGCACGTTATCTTACTTAATAATATGTGTACACAAATAACATAGTGATAACATGCCTAATAATTGCAGAAACAATACTTTAATTGAATTCAAAATGTCATAATCATAAATATAATGAGCAAAAAAATTCTCCGAAATAATCATTAAAGCAAGGACTTGTCAATAATGCCCATCCGTTCAACATGTCCCTTAAATGTCTTAGGCGATAGTCCCTTAGTCAACGGATCCGCTATCATAAGATCGGTACTAATATGCTCAAATGACACTCTTCGTTTCTGCACTTCTTCTTTGACTGCTAAGTATTTTATCTCCATGTGCTTGGCACCTTTAGAGTATTTTTTGTTCTTTGAGAAGAAGATAGCTGCGGAATTATCACAATAAATTCTCAGCGGTCTGGCTATAGAGTTGACAATTCCAAGCCCTGAGATAAAGTTCCGCATCCATAATCCATGAACTGTAGCCTCAAAGCATGCTACAAATTCAAATTCCATAGTAGAAGCAGCGATGACAGGCTGCTTTCCACTTCTCCATGACACTGCTCCTCCGGCTAATAGGAAACAGATAACCGAAAGTCGACTTTATGGTAACAATGCATCCGGCAAAATCGGAATCTGAATACCCAATGACTTCCAAGTTGTCATTTCTTCTATATGTAAGCATGTGTTCTTTGGTGCCTTGCAAGTACCTTAGAACTTTCTTTGCAGCTTTCCAGTGGTCTATTCCAGGATTGCTCTGATATCGGCCCAACATTCCAATAGCAAAACTGATATTTGGCCGTGTACACGTCTGAGCATACATCAAACTCCCAACCACTGATGCATAAGGAATACTTTCCATTTCTTTTCGTTCCAATTCGTTCTTTGGACATTGCATATTACTGAACTTGTCCCCTTTCTGAATCGGAACTATCCCTGCAGAGCATTCACCCATTCTGAATCTCTCTAAGATCTTATTAATGTAACTTTTCTGAGACAATCCTAACAATCCTTATGGTCTATCACGGAATATTTCTATTCCAATCACATAAGACGCCTCACCCATATCTTTCATCTCAAAGTTCTTAGAGAGAAACTTCTTTACGTCATGTAACATTCCAATGTCATTTGCAGCAAGTAGAATATCATCAACATACAAGACCAGAATCACATACTTGTTCCCACTAACTTTCATATAGATACATCGATCAACGATATTCTCTATAAAACCATAAGATGTAATGGTATCATTGAATTTAAGATACCATTGTCGGGAAGCTTGTTTCAGTCCGTATATTGACTTTCTCAGCTTACACACCAAATTATCATTTCTTGTGGCTTTAAAACCTTCAGGTTGGTCCATATAGACTTCTTCCTCTAAATCACCATTCAAAAGGTGGTCTTTACATCCATTTGGTGAAGCTCTAAGTCATAATGAGCCACCAAAGCCAAAACAATTCTCAAGGAATCTTTCTTAGACACCGGAGAGAAAGTTTCTTTATAGTCGATGCCATCTTTCTGGGTGTAACCTTTAGCAACAAGTCGGGCCTTATACCTTTCGATATTACCACTTGAGTCACGCTTAGTCTTAAAGACACATCTACAACCAACTCTCTTTGACCCATTCGGTAAATCAACTAAGTCCCAAACTTTATTGTCATCCATTGACTTTAATTCATCTTTCATGGCATCAAACCACTTTTCAGAATTACTACTATTCATGGCTTGCTTAAATGAGAATGGATCATCATCAATGCTTAAGTCACATTCATGTTCAAGAGTATAAACCATGTAGTCATCTGAGATAGCGAATCTTTTCTCCCTTTCAGGATAACTTGTGGTTCATTAAACTCTTCTTGTATTGTGACTGGTTCATCGGGTATATCTTCATTATGTGGGTTTTGGACATTCCTCGGTTGTACCAAAATATCACGTGACATTGATGTGACTTGAGGAACAATAACTGTAGAAGGGATATCAGGTGTTAAAACATTATCCCGAATCTCTTCAATGTCCACCTTGCGTGGTTTAACACTCCCACTGATTTGACCATTTTCTATGAACCTTGCATTGCCAGCCTCTACAATTCTCGTACTATGGTTAGGATAATAAAATATAAATTCTTTAGACTTTTCTGGATAGCCAATGAAGAATCCACTGACTGTCCTAGGATCAAGTTTCTTTTCATGTGGATTATATACTCTTACTTCTTCTTGACAACCCCAAACATGTAAGTGTCTCAAACTCGGTTTCCTCCCCATCCACAATTCATAAGGTGTTTTAGGGACTGCTTTACTAGGAATCCGATTTAGCAAATATGTTGTCGTCTTTAATGCATGCATCCACATTGAAAGAGGTAAAGAGCTATTACATATCATGCTCCTAACCATGTTCATTAATGTACGATTCCGCCTTTCAGCTACACCATTCTGTTGAGGTGTACCAGGCATTGTATAATGTGCACAAATGTCCATACTTTCGAGAAATTTTGCAAATGAACCTGGACATTGTCCACTTTAATCATATTTACCATAATACTCACCACCTCTATCAGATCTCACAACTTTAACCTTTTTATCTAACTGCCTCTCAACTTCATTAATGAACACTTCAAGGACGTTCATAGATTGAGATTTATCATGCAGTAGATAAACATAACCATAACGTGAATAATCATCAATGAAGGTGATAAAGTACCTTTCTCCACCCCATGAAGGGATATCAAAAGGTCCACAGATATCAGTGTGAATCAACTCAATAAGCTGAGTGCTTCTTGTGCCTGATTTCTTTGATGTATGTTTAGTCTGTTTTCCTTTTATACAGTCAATACACACTCATAAGTCACTGAAATCCAAATGAGGTAGAATGTCACTTTTCATCAACCTCATTAACCTTTCTTTGGATATGTGATCTAATCCTTGATGCCACAATAAAACAGAACTTTCATTATCGGGTGCACTACGTTTAATTCCCACACTATTCTCAACATTAAACATGGATTTAGAAAACTTTCTGTCAAGATTGAAACGATAAAGACCATCCATTAAAATACCAGAACCATAAAGGTATTCATGTCTATATAATTGAAAAACAGCAGAAGCAAACTTGAAAGAAAAACCCATTAAATCCAACTTTCCTACGGAAACAAGATTTCTAGCACATTCAGGAACATAGAGACATCCTTCAAGATCTATATGACAACCAGTATCCAAGATCAATATATAAGTCCCAATGCCTTATATTCGTGCTTTCATCTTGTTTTCCATAACCACATGTCTTTCAGGTCCTTTTATGAGTTGGATCATACGAAATCCCTGTTTAATATGAGAAACATGAGTTGTTGCACCAGAATCTAACCACCAGGTACTATTAGGTACTTCAATAATGTTCGATTCAAAGCAAACAAAAATATTATGTTTACCTTTACTCTCGAACCATTCCTTTCTTTTCTTGCAGTCTTTCTTAATGTGTCTACTCTTCTTGCAGAAGAAACACTTGACTTCTTTCTGGATTTGGCTCACATTAGCTTTCATTGGAGCTTTATCCTTCCTTTTATCATTTTTTCCCTGGCTTTCTCTTACTGCTACCGGCACTATCATGGACTGCGAGGTGGACTGAGTGTCCTTTCATCTTCTTTAATCTCCCTTCTTCCTGTATCAGCATGGCTTTTAATTCCTGAAAGTTCCATTTTTCTTTAATGGTGTTGTAATTCACCTGGAACTGACCAAACTCAACATGCAGAGAGTTAATGATGAATTGGATAAAAAATGTTTCACTAACATCCATCCCCATAGTCTTCAACTTTGCTGCCATGTTAGACATGTGAGTCACATGATCATGGATAGACTGAGACCAGTCAAACTTTTTCGTAGTCAGCTCACTCATGAGACTACCTACAATTGACTTGTCAGCCAAATCCGATTGTGAATACTCTTTAATCTTATCCATAAATTCCCTTGCACTTTCAGTCTTAGGCATTGATGGCTTAACACTTTCCGCCATGATCATCCTCATAAGGTTGAAACATAACCTATTAGACTGCTCTCGGGACTCAAAATAAGTCCTTTCATTTTCTGAGCTGGTATCTATTATGACAGGCTTTTCACTAACCAATAATGCAAGATCCAAATCATAAACACCCAGATAAAACTGGATCTGTTCAGACCAATCTGCATAGTTAAGCCCGTTGAACTTGACCACAGCATTGTCAGTTGCCATAGGGTTAAAAGAAGCTGCAAAACATTTATACATGCTCACTTATTAATGCTTTGAGTTAACAAAATAAAACGAGAAACTTAAGACGTATTTAAGCAACCTTTGGGCAATACTTAAATACAAACAAAATCATTGATGCTACAATCACAATAATTTAATGTATCAAAAGTTATAAGACGTATTTAAATTCACCTTTGGGCAGAAATTTAAATACGCATACCAACATTGATACAAAATACTTTTATGTACATCATAATATAAAAAATCAAATAAATATGCAATCTTTGGATATACATACTTATTGATCAAGATAAAATATCAATCCCTTTTAATATTATTAACTATATGCAATGGTCCAACTTTGGCCGACCTCATAACGATACAATTAATAATCTCAATTGTTCAACTGTACCTTTATATCATCTTTTAGCATCCTTTTATTTTGAACAACTGAAAATATTCGATTTGAATGTCTAATCTTAATTAATCTAGGCCACTTTGGTGACTAATAAGATTCCATAATGTAGATATTGAATCGAATAATAAAAAAAATGAAGATATAACTTTTATATACAATTCGACCTAATATATATATATATATGCATATATTGACTACCATTATTATATGCATAAATAAACATAAATAAAATTTAATATATATATATATCACTATTATATCGAATTATAAATATATCTCAAATAAATAAAATTCTATAAGTTTAATAACTGTATATGAATACATCAAAACACTGTAAGATCCGTAACATACACATATGCACATGTACCTTTAATATGCACGTCAAAATATATATCATTATATCATACATATATGCATAAAATATTAAAATATGACCATGTATAAATTTATTATACATATTGACTTAAAAAGAGAAATTCATATGATCATGTATAAATTTATTATACATACAGATTTCAAAAAGAGAAATCATATCACAGATTTCAAATCTATGTAATATCTTATTATTTCAAAGATGAACATTAGAAAAAAAAAATCAAACTTTCTCATCTATATATGAATCTCTAAATATATAATTAGAGAAAACTTTAATCCGATGGAAAACTTTAACCGGTGAATTATATTAAGCCACAAACCAGGCTCTGATACCATTGTAAGATAATTTCAAGTTTTCAGAGATTTGCTTTTATGAAAACCCAAACGATAAACTGGATCTGACTTTATATAATTGACACAAAACAATCAATAAAACATAGATCAGAAAACCATACCTGGATCCATGAATTGCAGCGGAATAACTTTAAGAACCAAAAGTCTTCTAGGGTTTTCTCTCATTTCTCCCGTACTATAAGTTTTTCTTGATGGATAGAAATAATGAACTATAATGTTCCTTTTATAGGGTGCGGAAACCCTAGTTGTATTAGGGTAAGGAGAGATGAGACTTCCAATAATACCTCTGGGTCTTAATTCTTTAATGAGTTCTTATCCATCAAAGAACCAGATTAACATTAAAACCCGAAAACCCAAATTACATGGGCCACATAATAATTTATTTCTTACACCATATTCAGTGACGCAAGCCGAGAAACACGGATCTGGAATTATTAACAACAACCTCGGACATACCGCCCTTGTCGAAAGCTTGCCCCCGTATATTTTCTTGCATGTGGTACTGTCTTGTGACCCTATCTTTGTTTCTCCTACAATGATATATAAATATATAACAACGTACCGTCACGGATAAAGCGATCGAGAGATTAAAATCATGAATTTCAATATCCAATTAAATAATATATAGCATCGAAATCTTATGTTATGATGCGTTTAATGTAACTAAGGGCAGTGACTTACATCCAATTAAATAATATATAACGTACTAACCAAGGGCCACGACTGGAGAATCCCCCATCTCTGTTGGTTTGAGAGTCTCCTTCCTGTAAACGAGGTCGTGGGTTCAACACCCAGAGTATGGAGATTCCCCTCCTGCCACCTTCGGGTGTTTCACATCCCACGTGTGTGTTGCAGGATCGTGCGCGTGAGTCGGGATTAGTCTGAGCCTTTGGGCTTGGGATCACCCGATTATCAAAAAAAAAAAAAACCAAAGCCCACGACGACGAAGAGGGTTGAGAACACGACGAAAATGGAAAGAGTCTTTGCCATTATTATAAAAAAAAATTATCTTTTATTACTTGGAAGTGCTGTGTGGAAATAGGCCTCCACTTTGGGGCTACGCTGCATGCATGAATCGGGATGATTTTTTTTTTAATACGTGATGCGTATTAATTTACGTATATGTATTGTAAATAGTGGTGTCCTACAAGACTCAACTGTAACACATATATATGTATATATATATACGTATATGTATATGTATATATAAATATAATCTACGGTTTTTTTTTAAATGGATGGAATGATTAGTGGATTTAGACTCGAACGATTTGGTATCTACCGAGTGGATAGTTTACGTACAAAATCAAAACTCAATGGCACGTTTTTATTGTGAAAAAAGGTACGGACTAAATTCACATCAAGGTAACATAAACTTATCCAAATGGCCAAGTGATAAACACAATATACAAAGAATACTTTTAGTGACTCGAATGCGGTGGCCTGATGGTTGGGCAGCACAAAGTACTCTCAAACCACCCAGGTTCGAATCCCACCGGGCCAAACTTTACCAAAAAAAGAATACTTTTAGTGCGGACTCAAATCTCAACATGGGGAGAGGTATTGATCCGAATTTCCCCGATCTTCTAAAATATGTAATTGGATAAAAAACACGATAAACTTCTGGATTATATAAAAGAAGGTAACATAAACTTTGTCAACAAGGCATCTATCCCGTTAACAAAGACATTTATCCCGTTAACAAAACATGAATCTGCAATCATTGTACCTTGGTTTTGCAATCCCTAGGCTAGACGTACGGCTAAGGATTTGGTTCAATGAACCTACTCTTTTTATCCCCTAATACATGTGGTTCCGTGTATGCGTGTAATCTATAAATTGTTTTTTTTTGTACTCAGATGTCCTCAGCCGATGTCAAGACTAATTCTGAAACCGAAAACAAACAATGTGATTAAAATATGCACTCTCCTCCCCAACTTAAAGTTAAACTCGGGATGGAACAGACGCTTTTCGTCCCCATTTCACCTGTTGAACTATGTAAGTTGGGTGTAATGTATAAATTGTCAGTGAATGGGTGGAATGATACGTGTGAGTTTAAACCATTGATTTGGAATCTAATGGCACGTTCACATAAAACACATTTAATTTCAAAAACTGTACTCAACCGGGCACTTTGCACGTTTTCATCGGGAAAGACATTGGTGAAAACCACGAAGAACACCATTTTGCTCTCATAAAAATGAATGGTATTGATGTATAGTTTTCCACCTCAAAACTTGAAATGGCTAAAAAAGAAAATATAGATATTCGAGCGGACCAAATTGTCGGCCGAAATTTGAATATATTGCTCGCAATCTCAATTTCCAACCCGTTGCTTCTTTAAAACGTGCGTGCAACTGTGTTTTGATGTTTTACGCCTCTTACACACAGTCACACACACGCACGCATATATATATATATATATATATATATATATATATATCTCGAGATCGAGAGAAATTTTACTCTATGATAAATTATACGAATGTTACTCCGCATAAATCGAGAATCGGTACATTGCTCTTGTACATGTTAACTTCTATTAATACAATTAACATTTTAAAAAAAAGGAAGGAATCGATCGGTGCAATACTGATGTGACATGGATGGCTGAAACACATAAGTCGAAGTGGCTTGGTCTTAAGTTTTTTTTTTTTAAATGGAGATTAACACTTTTGGTCTAGAGGTAAGCAGGATTAGTAAAACGTGTAACCGATGCTTTGAACTAATTCCAAAAAAACCAGATACATACGTTTTGACGCGTCACCTAAGGACGTCAATCGGGCCAGCCCAAGACCACATCGATCCGAGGGTTTCGTGCTCAGGTTCGGGTGGATCTGATTTTTTTCGAGCCAATATAACTAAGCACAAAGCCCAGTCCGATAGATTTCAGTCTTTAGATAGGGTCGGATCGACCCACACAATTTTCTTTACAAACATACATTTTTCTTTTTTATTAAGATTTTTTAAAAAAATATGTTTCAGTTTTTTGGACCGACCCGAATCGAACCCGATTTCCGATGTGAGTCCGTCTCGAAAGTCCGAATTTTTTTTTTGCCAAAAAATTTAGCCCCAAAGCCCGCTAGGTTTTGGTTGGATCGAATCGGATTTCGAATTTCGGATTTAAATTGACATCTACATCGTCATCCAAATTTGGGTGGATCAATTGGTCGGAGATGAGATAAACCTCTTGCCAATCCATGTTAGTTGAGACAAAATCCGTTGAATTTACGACTTATTAAAAAAAATATGTTTCTTCGCGTTATCCTCTTAGCATAATTGTTTTATTACTTAAAAGTGAATAAGAAATTCTTTTGCAAACCATTAATTTCCAACTCAGCGAGACGTCAACATTAACGATAGAAGCACGAAGATCTTAAAACAAAATGCAGATGCCGTTTTATTGCATATTAAACGCAAAACACATAACATACATATATATATATCGATATAAAGACTATCGACTTGGATTATTGTTCGTGGATACACATAATAACATACGATATGATAGCTAGCTAGGGAATAAGGTCGAAGGTCATCCGTTTTCTTTTTTTGGTCTGAGATATCCGCCCTAGCAACCAATGGACTCATCACCTCTAGGCCATGGTTGTTGGTTGGAGATTTCAATCAGATCCTAAGCCCCCAGGAGCATGCTTCCCCTACATCTCCGTTCATTCCCTCGATAGGAATGTTCGAGTTTCAGGATTGCTTGTATGCTAGTGGTCTTTTTGACCTTTCTGCTCGAGGCCACTTCCATACCTGGACAAATAACAAATTCGAAAACCCCATCACTCGGAAGCTTGATCGTGCAGTGGTAAACGAGGCTTGGTTACTTGCATTCCCAGAGTCCTATGCCCGTTTCGACACGCCTGTGCCATCGGACCATTGCCCCTGTCTAGTGGATTTGGATCCAGGTGGTCCGAGAAGACGGAGAACGAGCTTCAAATTCCTTAAACACTTGGTGAAACATCCAGACTTCCACGACATAGTACGACATGTTTGGTCGACCGACTCCACATCGGGCTCGATTGCTCAAGCCGATTCTGAGGGAATTGAACCAAAGGGCCTACAGTGGGATTCAGGCTCGAGTAAGGGCAGCCCATCAAGCCCTCAAGAAGCACAATCCCGACTTTTTTCGAATCCTACACTAGCTGCAGCCGGCCATGAAGCAAGGCTTCGCTCCACCTGGTCGGTTCTATCGGCCGCAGAGGAGACATTCCTACGCCAAAAATCGAGGATCCGATGGCTAAAGGAGGGGGATCAAAATTCGAAGTTCTTCCACCGTGTAGTTTTATTACGACAAGCTACTAATCGAATTCGTTTCCTCTTAAATGATGCAGGAGAAAGGGTTTACCATGTGGAGGACATGAAACTCCTAGCGGTGGGTTACTATCAGAACTTGTTGGGTAACTCGGATCCTAACTTGATACTTTGGGCGGATTCTGAATTGAGGGAGCTTGTGGATTTTAGATGTTCGAATGACATTTCTGTTGTGCTCTCGACTGTTCCTACTTCAGAGGAAATCACCACAGAGGTCTTTTCAATGCCGAAAGATAAAGCACCGGGACCGGATGGCTTCCCCTCCGAGTTTTATGTCTCTTGCTGGGATATTATTGGCCCTCATGTCATTGCAGCGGTAAGAGAATTCTTTCTCTCTGGTCAGCTGCTAAGGGAATGGAACGCTACTAGTATAGCTTTTATTCCGAAAACCATGAATGCTACCCACATGAAGGAGTTCAGACCAATCTCCTGTTGTAATACCACCTACAAAATCATCTCCCGAATCCTCGCCAAAAAACTCAAGCTGTTGTTGGATTCCGCTATCCTCCCTAACCAGACAACTTTCATTCCAGGGCGCTCTTTGCTTGAGAATGTGATGTTAGCTACCGTGCTTATTGCGGGTTTTAGCTCTAAAGGCAGGCCTAAGAATGCAAGCATTAAGGTGGATTTATCTAAGGCTTTTGATTATGTTCACTGGGACTTTATTATTCAGATTCTCCGTGTTCTAGGGGTTCCTTGTCGCTTTCTCAACTGGATCTATTAGTGTATGTCCACCACATCCTTCTCACTTTCATTCAATGGTGAAACCACGGGGTTCTTCCATGGTAAACGGGGTCTTCCACAGGGCGATCCTATCTCACCGTACTTGTTCGATCTCGTGATGGACATACTATCTCGCCTACTAAACCGAGAAGTGTGTAGAGGCAACATCAGGTTACCGGCTAGATGTCGATCTCCAATGGTATCCCACTTCACTTTTGCGGATGACATCTTAGTCTTTTCTGACAGTCCAACCTCCCCACTTGCAGCAATCCTAAGCACCTTTGACATGTTTTACAGAATCTCGGGGTTGCAGGTGAATAAAGGCAAAACCTCACTATTTCTCGATGGGGATGATTTTGCGTTCACCACCTCAACAGCCTTGACACTGGGTATTTCCGCTGCGACACTACCGATCAAATATTTGGGCCTGTCTTTGTCTCCTTCACGATTCAGAGAATGTGATTGCATTGGTCTCCGAGACTCTATCAGGACTCGGCTATGCTCATGGATGGCCAAGCATCTCTCCTTCGTTGGGCGCTTACAACTTCTGAAATCGGTGATTTACATCATTATTAATTTTTTGGGCGGCTGCGTTTATCCTTCCCTTGACTTGTCTTAAGAATATAGAACGGATGTGTTCTGCTTTTCTCTGGTCGGGGGCACCGGACTCTGCGAAGGGCGCCAAGGTCTCCTGGGCAGCGGTATGTACTCCTAAAGCCAGCGGGGGTCTAGCCCTGAGAAGACTTACTGGACTGGAACAAAACCCTGTGTTTGAAGCTCATCTAGATCTTGTTCACGAAAGGGGGCTCTCTATGGGTCTCGTGGGTGCATCAAAACCTGATCCGTGGGAAGCATTTCTGGTCGCTCCGAGAACGTGGGAAGGAAAGTTGGGCATGGCACAAGCTGTTGAAGCTTCGACAAACGGCCAGATCTCTTCTTCGTTGTCGGGTGGGCAATGGGGAAACATGTATGTTTTGGTATGACTCATGGCTTCCTCTTGGTTCCCTTATCTTGGTGACAGGTTCAATGGGCCCTAGATTGCTTGGCGTTCCTCTGGCTTCGACGGTTGCAGAGGCGGCCTCGTCCGATGGTTGGCTCCTCCACCCGGCGCGATCGAACGTTGCTGTATCTATTCACCAAGCCCTTATTGCTCACCCTCTTCCGAGAGATAGTAGCAGCCCTAATCGGTTCTATTGGTCGGGAATGCAACTGGATTCTCAACTACTGTTGTTTTCCACGAAGTCTACATGGTTGACACTTTACCCGGCACCACCTCGTGTTCCGTGGAAGAATGTAGTCTGGTTTGCTCGTTCTGTCCCTAAACACTCCTTCATGACATGGCTTGTGGTTAGGAATAGGATCCCAACACGTGATAGGACGAATGCTTGGGGGATTAACACTCCGACTTGTTGCGTCTTATGTGGTGACGAGGACGAAACTGTTTCTCATTTTTCTTTCGATGCTCCTACTCTGACCATATATGGCCGGGTGTTTTGAATCACTCGTCGTTCTCTACGTCGGGGCACCATTGCTTGGAGGAAACTCTGTTGTGGTTGAACTCTTGTGCAGGTCCAAGGTCTGTCAAGTATATGATTTTACCTCTTTTCCAGGCCTCTATATACATGATATGGATGGAAAGGAACTCGAGAATCCACCGATCTGAGTCTCGGCCAGCTGAGGTGACTCGTAAGGACATTATTCGGTTCACTCGACGGAAGCTTTCCTCGGTTCAGGCCGATTTATCACCTCCCGCTGCAGGGGATACTATCATGTCTTTTTGGTTCCGTAACTTTGATCCTTTATGATGTTTGGCTCCTGATTTTCTTGGCTCATTAGACTGATGTAATTTAAACTCTCTTCGTTGTAACTGAGCAGTTGTATTAAATAGAATTTACCGTTTACCAAAAAAAAAAAATAAGGTCGAAGGGTATCTGCATGCATGCAAACGTACGTACGTACGCAGGCAGCTGCGTTTTAAGCGGCGACTGCTTCCCTGACGTTAAGACTGTGGTTTGGTTTAGCGGAGCAGAAGCCGTTGGAGCATATGCAACGAGGACCAAAAGGCTCGCCATGGCCGGTGCAGAAACCGCTACCAAACCCATCGTCCCTGCTGCAACGTATAGCGCAAGCCCGGTTAGGGGAAATGGACGAACAGATTCGACGGTGAGTAGACTCGGAGCCTCTGTATATGTCGGCGCACAGATGCGTGTTTTCGCAGAAGTTGCACACGCATTTTATGGTAGGTTGGGTGGGAGGATCCGTGGAACTTATGAACTCGCATTCGCCGCCTTTAGCTTCGTATTCAGTGACGCAAGACATGAAACATGGGTCTATGGCGAATGCCCTCCACGGGCATACCTCCGTAGTCGAACGTATGCCCGCGTAAAGTTTCTTGCATGTCTTGTCGGATCCTATATATGTCTCTCCTATAATGATGTATGTACAACAACGTACAAGCGAGAGATTATGTCAAATATAACAAATCTCCATTGCATAATTAAACCTTATTCATCTGTTGAAAGGAAGGCCGTTATGGACTCTGAAGGTTAGCAGTCTAGGAAGCTGGGCATGGCGCCGCCTCCTCAAACTTCAACCAGCTGTCTAGGATCGCATGAGATGTAGGGTTGGCAAGGGTCATACCCATAAGCTGATCAACTATGCAGGTTCTTTTCCCATTAAACTCATGCTTCTACTCCTCTTTCAGGTTGCCCTTTATTCCCTCTGGACGGAACGAAATGCTCGTGTCCATGGAAGAGAAAGCAAGCCTCCCACTGTATTGCGTGGTGATGTCCTGCGACTGACACATAGGAAAATCTCATCGCTACGACAGTCCCTAGCCTTAGCGAACCCATCTGACAGCCTGATTGTGGTCCTGACCATTTGGATCATATTTATATATCAACTTTGATTTAATGGATCAGTTGGTCCGAGATTGTGTGTTTTTTTTTTTTTGGTTTTAAAAATTGCAGAGCATTGCTAATGAGTACACGATGGAATATAATTTTTTTCATTTACCTTAATACTATATAGGGAGATTCACATATTAAATACTGAACTTTAACCAAATTTCTAAATTAAATACTTAACTATCTCACTTCCAAATTAAATACTCAACTATATTGAAATTCACAAATAAAAACTAAACTTTGCAAATTTTAACATATACCTAAAGGATAATCCAAAACAAAACCCTTTACTTTTTTTTCATCACAATTTAAACCCTATACTTTTTTTATCCAAAAAAACCCTAAACTTTTCAAAATTTTAAAAATGATACACATTAATATACATATATTAATTATTATAAGCACAAAATCAATTACACATTTATTTTCCACAAAATTAATTGTAAATTTATTTTATATATTTATATGTATATATATGTTTTATATATATGTAAGATATATGTATTTTTTCCTAAAAATCAGTATATTATAGAGAGAGAGAGAGTCGTGCTTTCGAGTCATCAGAGAACTCAATTATGTAACCAGGTCCATGCCAAAATACTACCCTATCACAAAAAAAAACCCATAAACCTTCACTTTGTACCTTACACCTGCATATATATATATATATATATATATATTATATAACTAGTACACTATGACATTATTGGTTAAATATTCAAAGAAGTCTAGTTTAATTGAAGCCAAGTGGCCGAACCGTACGTACACTTGATTTTATTTTGTCTATTAATGATTCGATTTTATTTTTACATCAATAAATAATTTCTACTTTAATATTAGGGAGATTCACATATTAAATACTCAACTTTAACCAAATTTCCAAATTAAATACTTAACTATCTCACTTCCAAATTAAATACTCAACTATATTGAAATTCACAAATAAAAACTAAACTTTGCAAATTTTAACATATACCTAAAGGATAATCCAAAACAAAACCCTTTACTTTTTTTTCATCACAATTTAAACCCTATACTTTTTTTTATCCAAAAAAACCCTAAACTTTTCAAAATTTTAAAAATGATACACATTCATATACATATATTAATTATTATAAGCACAAAATCAATTACACATTTATTTTCCACAAAATTAATTGTACATTTATTTTCCACAAAATCAATTACACATTTATTTTCCACAAAATTAATTGTACATTTATTTTATATATTTATATGTATATATATGTTTTATATATATGCGTGATATATGTATTTTTTTCCTAAAAAATTATTATATATATAAAAAACTATTTATTATTTGTATATTGTTTTATATATAAAAAACTATTTTCCAAAAACATATTTATATGTATATATATGTTTTATATATGTATGGTATATGTATTTTTTTCCTAAATTTTTTTTTATATATAAGAAATTATTTATTATTTTTATATGAGTTAAATTGTCCAAAAAAACATGTTCTTGAAAAATAGTTTCTTATATATAAAACAATATACGAATAATAAATAGTTTCTTTTAGGAAAAAATACATATATCTTACATATATATAAAACATATATATACATATAAATATATAAAATAAATTTACAATTAATTTTGTGGAAAATAAATGTGTAATTGATTTTGTGCTTATAATAATTAATATATGTATATGAATGTGTATCATTTTTAAAATTTTGAAAAGTTTAGGGTTTTTTTGGATAAAAAAAAGTATAGGGTTTAAATTGTGATGAAAAAAAAGTAAAGGGTTTTGTTTTGGATTATCCTTTAGGTATGTGTTAAAATTTGCAAAGTTTAGTTTTTATTTGTGAATTTCAATATAGTTGAGTATTTAATTTGGAAGTGAAATAGTTAAGTATTTAATTTGGAAATTTGGTTAAAGTTGAGTATTTAATATGTGAATCTTCGTTGGAGTTTCAACATTAAAATGCTGATCTTGTCATAGATTCGGTCTCGCTTTTTAAAATAAAAAATAAAAAATAAAAAATGTGATCTAACGGATGAACCCTAATGTTTTAGGAAACTGCATAACTCCTAATTCCAACATCTCAAGATTCTTGATAAAATCGGCTGATCCGAGGGGTCAGGGAAGAGGATCGAAAGCGAGGTAATTGTAAATCTGGGGAACATCAGATTACAATTATCTCGCTTAGAGATTTCCCCAGTTGGCACTCTTTCGGGAAAAAAATCCCTAATTTCTTAGAGCCCCAGTGAGCGAAAATCTGCTTCCTTCAATCTCTGTTGCTGCAGCGCAACGAAATCGCCATTCGTCGGATTAACGAACTGTACGAGAAATATCACGATGGGTGATTCTGTCTTCTTTAAGGCAGGTTGTTGTTCGATCATATCGCAGATAATCACGAGGATCAGCTTCGGCAAAAGAGAAGGTACCTTTTTTTGCTCTGCTTCCTGTCTTCCGCCGTATATTCTTCTGCTTTCCTTGATCACTCACGAAACTACGAACGATCCGCGTTATTCTGCTTGTATGTTTACGGGATTGTAAACTCTCGATCGTGTTTAGATGGAGTTTAGCTATTGTCTGAAAGCGGTGGTAATAGGATTCTGTCGTGTGTTAGACAACGTGGGTTTTGGAAAAAAAAAAAATATCGTCTTTCCACTCGAATGTGAACTCCAATTCAATTGGATTGAAGTGATGGGTCAAAAAGAAATCAGAGGATTCGAGTTAGAAAAAACCTGTTCCTGTTTGATAGTTCAAGCTGATTCTTTTTCCTTATATGAAATTGCTAAAACAATAAAGCTTTAGGTAACGACATGGAAGGACCGACGTCCTTACGCAGCTTCAAAGTGTTCTCAATGATCCTGGAAATGTCAAGAAAACGAACATGCCTAATATGTTTCCCAATTTCTAGTCCTGACATGATGCTGCGATCATGGTAATGAACAAGCTAGAAATCTTGTTGCTTCATATCCTGATTTCTATTCAAAGGAAAATTGAGAGTTCTACCATCTTACATCAGTTAGAACCAGAGAAAAACCTTTTTTGAATCGACACCATCTGATGAAACATGTGAGGTAAGCTAGTGAAAAGATGTTCTCAGAACTTTCTGAAGAAGATGCTATAGCAATGACATTACTGAATTTAGCACGTAAGCTAAATCCTGAGTATAGAAGTATTGCTGGTGCAGATTGTTTTCCAGTTCACATCTGAAACAAAGAATTTGCTGAATGGAATACTGAAGGCAATCTTTTTACTCCCCAAGAAGGTCAGGTTTCCCAAACTGGAAAAGATGGAGCCGTTGTTTGGTCCAGAAGCCAATATCTTATCTTAACTCTGTGGTCGAATATCTGTTCAAGTGCCATGAGGTGGACCCTGTTCCATACAATCAGGAAAGCAAATTTTACGGGAATGGTTTCCATATTATGAGCTTGATCGGGTCTTCGATGATGCTTATCTAGAGGAACCTGAAGACTGATGATATTGAATTGGTGAGGCTCAAATCTGCTGACATCTATTGTTCCAGAGGAGACCGCTAAACCACCTTCTAAAGTCTGGTTCAGATATTCTACAAGACCGTGAAATCACATGTGAAAGATGCATTTGGAATATAAGAGAATGGAGAACAGAGAATGTCGTTCAGCAAATTTTTGCTCATCGAGTGATCAGAAGACTTGAGTTGAATCTTGATGCTTTACCGAATAATGGGCTTTATCTTGAGCTATGATAATCACAGGAGACTCGAGTGAGTTTGAGAAAACTTTCCTGAAAATGAAGACGTTTTGATCACCAAGGATTTCAGGAGAAAAGTGCACATACGGAAAGACCGACTCCCTTAAGCAGCTTCAAAATGTTCTCAGTGATCCTGGAAATTTCTGGAAAACAAGCATGATGAATTTGTTCTCCACTTTCCAGTCCCATCGTGACTCTGCGATCTGGTACTGAACAAGGTATAAATCTCGTGAGGCAAGCCAGTGAAGATGCTTTCAGAACAGGTGAGGCAAGCAATACTTCTACGATATTACCTCAGTTAAAACCCAGAGAAAAATCTGTCTGAATCGTCGCCATCTGATAAAACAGGTGATGCTAGCCAGTGAAGATGCTTTCAGAACTTCCCTAAGAAGATGAACTGAAGGAGCCATTCATGAAAGCAACGGCGCTAGTGAATTTAGCACTTAAGCTACATCCTGAGTATAGGAGCATGAGTACTGCTGACGCATATTTTTTTTTCAAGTTCACATCTGAAACAATGAATTTGAAGAATGAAAAACAAAAGGTTCTGCTCACTCCACAGGAGGCCAGGTTCCCTGAAAAGGTGCAGCTGATGTTATGCTCAGGAGCAAGCATTTTCAAAAATAATTTAAGAACAGCAATCAGGAAATTTTTTGTCGATTATCTGTCGAGTGCAGTAAGATGGGCCCTGTTCTAGACTCCCTACTGAAAGCTCTTGCATTTGTGAATATGGTTTCATGGAGCATAAGGCACAAGGTCTTTTGTGGAGAGGCAGTTGAAGAAGAGGTGGAGTTCATATGAAATATGAGTGCTCAAGTAAAACAAATTTTAGAGGAAGGGTTTTCAAATCACGAGCTTGATTGGGACTTATATGGAGGAACCTGAAGACAGTGATGATGCGAACTCGAGATTTAATGATAACTGAGAATTTCTTGATGGGGACGTATATGGACTATGGAGTGCAGTAAGATGGACCCTGTTCTCTCTTTTGTTATTCTAAAACCAAACCAATGCAACTTCAAGTGTTTTGCCTGTCCATTAGTTTGTGTCATTTCCCTCGAGAGTCGACATTTACATGTCCTTCCCCATGTGTTTAGAGCATAACTGAAAATTTTACTTTGATGTTGTTGTTTTACACAGGCTGTGGATACAGGTCAGATGAATCGGTAATCGCTGGTGTGGCCAAAGCTCTAATGCCCTCTCTTGACAAGAGGTATTTCTGCATACCTGAATAGATTTGTCGAAGAATTTTATCTGTTGCCATCGAATTTTGCTGTGCTGTCTTAATGAGGTTGGAAGAACTAATGTACAAGTGAAACGCATTCTTCAAGGTTTTTATTCCTCTTGATGGATATACAAAGAACGTGTATGTACAGGTTGACTCAACGTTGCATCTGAACTCTGTAAAACCACTGTGTTTCTACATGTAAATATATATATATATATATATATGTCTACCTTTGACCATGAGAGATGTATATGTGATGTGTAGGGATGAAAGGTGCTATGGACATGGTCCGAGATATCCGATGCTACCAGTAGAACTGCCGATGGGACAAGGCAGATCACGGACGAGGAACTTCACAGTGTGTCTCCCTGTTCCGGCCAATATCTCTAAGCATTCATGGAGATCTGAATCAGTCACTAGCATCACCCATTCTTCTTCGTCGTCCAAGTATTTGAGTTGGAACGTTTCTTCATTCAGCTCGAAACGCTTCCCGACTTCTCTGTAGATTTGAGAACACCCGACCGATGGGTCGATCTTGAAACGCACTGTGTCATCGTTGTAAGTTGCCTTCACAGTGACAACCGTGGACCCGCTCTCACCTCCGCTGCTACTGCTGTTTTGAGCTCTCAGCGAGTTCAGGTCATCCACGGAAGTAGACGAGCTCCTGACATTGACCGCACCTCCTCCAGCAACGTTTGACGAGTCCGAGAAGCTACAAGATATCGGCTGGTTAGGCTCGAAAGTTCTGGCCTTGTCATCCGTAATGGCTGGAGCTTTCGAGCTCTTCGGGACAAAGGGTTGTTTAGCGATCTCGATCTCGATCTCTACCCGGGTTTTGTCTGTGAAGCAACCGTCATAGTCCGAGCCGGACTGGTTTGCAACCCAAGACCATGGCTGGTTACCAACATTATCAGCCTCGTGGAACGATCCTACATGCACGAAGAAAAGAATTGGCAACTGAACTGTTCCGAGTTACCATACTATGAATCTATGATGTTTTTTTTTAAAACAATTTCTTACCAGGTGTGGTTTGGCTTGTGCTGCCAACCTCCTGTAACTTCTCAGCGTTGTTCTTGTCTGAATCTTGAGCTTGAGCCATGTCTTCTTCTTGAGCTACTCCTCCATTCTGGGCATTGGATTCATGGATAGAATGGCCAGTTGCCATGAATACCCCTGTTTCTGGGTTGTATTTGAAATCTGTGTCTACACCCTGGACGGATCCGATCACAGACTGCATTTTCCGTAAAGACCGATTAACCTTGCTGATCTTGCGATACGGCCACCTCGTTATCCCATGTTGTCTGCATATCCGTTTCAGTGTTGTAGGACAAACTTCATAAGACACAATCCAAAAACCACACGGAGTTATAGTTTTTGTTCCATTCACAAATCTTAAAAAACAACATATGGAACACTTGAAAATAAAATCTCACCACCAAGGGACCTAGCAGCATCCTTTAAGCTTCTGGAAAAGTGCTGTTGAAGAACATTTAAGCTTACAGTCTTCTCTGAAGTACTTTGTTTCTTCATAACCTGCTGAAAAAGATGCAACTGAAGTGAATAAGAATGTTTTTCATTCGCACAGTCTGAATCCTAAATGTCATCTGATGTCTCTATTACCGGCTCAGAAATGCTCGAGAAGATCTTTCCGTGAGAACTGAAGTTATTACTATCTCGCGGTATTGTCTGAAAGCTTCCTCGAGATATATCCATTTCCGGGAAACTCGTCCTTCTTTCATCTTGAATTTCGACATCAGTTGCTCCTTTATGAACTGACTCCGTGTCCAAAGCAGTTCTCAGAGTTCGACATATCCTCTGCATCGTGCCCGAGAGGTTGTCCAACAAAAGCTGCTGTTCTAAACTTCCGGTCATACTTACAGGCAGGAACAACTCAAGTACGTAGACATCATGGCCAGTGAACGTGCTCCTCAATTTGATCGCGACTGCTGCATTTAGACCGTACTTCCGAGCGTGTTGAACAAGAGGGTACTCGCTTATATCGAATGTCTTTACGTCGGATTTGAAGAAGGCTTGGTTCGATACAAGCACTTTGCCAGCCACTCCTTCCCCTTCTCGAAGATCATGCTCCAGGCATGCTTGCATAAATCCCTCCATCTCCGTATCATACACGTAACAATATGTATCTTCGACGCAAAGAACACAATCTCCGTCTGAGTATGATCCATAAACTTTTACCAACTCGCCACACGCTCCTTTCGAATAACAGCAGGGAATCCAGGTCAGAGCTAGGGGCAACCTATGTGCATGGCATACTGCTCGGAGAACATTCCCTATTTCGGCCAACGCCTCTCTTTGATTACCCGAAAGGGACTGGAAGACAACATACACTACTAGATTAAGATTTCATAAACAATCAAAAAATGTAAGTTTCTACGGACAAGTTGTCTGGTTTTAGATGTACCTGAATCCGGGGAACAGTCGATGTTCGCAAGTCCACGGCCTACAAAAAAGGGCAAACCGAAAATGAATCCGGATGGTATGGTGATATTGATACGATCATTTTCCAACGAGGAAACGGTAGCGGCATTTTTGGTAACCTCAGATTTGCAACCACAACATATGCCTCCAGAGCTGCCCTGGATGTTTATCATTGATCAAGGCAGAGAGGACTCTGGTGGAGGTCTTAAGCCAACAAAGATTCTCAGACCCCTAAAACAAGTTTGCATGAGGTTTTTAAGTTGTTTTATGCACTCACTGCATAAAAAAAAACATGAAGATCCAATTTGTCTTAAGATCAATCAACAATAAACCGTCTCTATGTTCAGTGGTTTTACCCGATAATGTTTTGAAGAGCTTACTGAACCAAGCCAGACAGAATGTTAAAGTTATGTTCTTGTTGCCATGGCCTGAATTTCTTACCACCTAATGTCAGAAGAGGTTCCTCCATTTTCTCCCTAGTAAAAGCTTCTAGTAAAGAGTAATACTAGATATGTGACAACCAGTACAAGAAAAGTTCAACACAGAGTTTGGGGAAACATATGAAGTAATCTTTTGCTGTCATGCCATTTATACACACAAAGAGACAGACAGGAGGGACAAGCTAGGTTACCTGGAGAGCGCGGCAAACAGATTCTAACTCCAAAGTGAAGTTGCGTTTTTCCCGAGTCGTGACAAGTTCCAGAACAGCACAAGACTTTCCCGTGTCTTCGAGTATCGGTATAGCAATTGAACCACGTACTTCGTTATCTATTGCATACTTCATTCGCAAATACTCAGCTGTCTTGTAATAAATCACGTTCGATGTCCATTCCACCAGTCCAGAGATATAAACCCGGCCAGGAAGGCCGGGAAAAGAGCATTGATGTGCATCTGCAGAAAATGTGAATTTCCTCGACGCTTCACGGTATCCAGAAAGCTTCGGATCGAGCAAATATGATTGGTTACATGTGCTAAGCATGAACTGATCTCCCATCTTCATCGGACTCCAGATTTGAGCAAGAATTCCCTCTCCTGATGTCTCCATGAACAAGCACAATGCTTTAAGCATCTTCTCATCTAAGGAGTGCCTAACTGACATGGGAATAGTGTGGTCCGACGTGTAAGATGAACTATAATTCTGACAAGAACTTGGCTTGTCTGCATCAGACACATCTTGTGAGCAATCGAAATGAGAGACCGTATGCTGCATCGATGATCCCTCTCCTCCGCTATAAGAGCCTTCCTCTTGGCAGAAAGCGTAAGGGGGGTCGGGAAAAGGGGCAGCCGAAGATCCAGACAGCATGGATCGGGAGGTCGGTGGCTCGTATTGGTTGAAGACAGAAGGACTATCGGACCATCCGCCAAAAGATTCAAGATTCATAAATTCTGAAGTAGGACTTAACGTATTCTCGGAGTCGAAATTACTTATACTCAGATCAATCCCAGCCAAACCATCGTTCAGCTCCTCTTGAGAATCCGAATAATCGATCTCTTTCCTCTTAGATGCGAAAGACTTTTCCATTTCTTTGACGATTTCTTGACAAAAAAAAACCCCTCAAGAACTGTGTATTTCAGACAAAACAAAATCCTCAGAGCAGGATGATACCATTCAATCTCAAAGATAGCCTCCTTGGTAACCTGTGCATGAAAAGAACAGAGAGTCGAGAACACAAAATCAAACTCACAGTCCCATGTCGTTTGAAGTAAACAGCTTGCAAGATTGACAAAACTAATCGACAGAAGAATTAACACGAGCAACACCCCGAAGCTGCCAAATAAAACATCCTAACAACAGTGTCTACTTAGCGAAACAATCAAACAAGCTCCGCACACACATACATACACAATACAACAAACCGCGAATTCGGTATACCCAGAATCAAAATTGGGGGGGGGGGGAACACC